TAAACTGTTGGTGGGAATGTAAACTAGTACAGCCACTATGGAGAACGGTGTGGAGATTCCTTAAAAAACTGGAAATAGAACTGCCAAATGACCCAGCAATCCCACTGCTGGGCATACACACCAAGGAAACCAGAACTGAAAGAGACACATGTACCCCAATGTTCAACACAGAACTGTTTACAATAGCCAGGACATGGAAGCAACCTAGATGTCCATCGGCAGACAAATGGATAAGAAAGCTGTGGTACACTTACACAATGCAATATTACTCATCTATTATAAAGAATGCATTTGAATCAGTTCTAATGAGGTGGATGAAAATGGAACTTATTATACAGAGCGAAGTAAGTCAGAAAGAAAAACACCAATATAGTATATTAACACATATATATGGAATTTAGAAAGATGGTGATGATGACCCTATGGGTGAGACAGCGAAAGAGACACAGATGTAAAGAACAGATTTTTGGATTCTGTGGGAGAAGGCCAGGGTGGGATGATTTGAGAGAATAGCGCTGAAACATGTATATTATCATATGTGAAAGGGATCACCAGTCCAGGTTTGATGCATGACACAGGATGCTCAGGGCTGGTGCACTGGGATGACCCTGAGGGATGGGATGGGGAGGGAAGTGGGTTGGAAGGTCAAGATGGGGAACACATGTAAACCCATGGCTGATTCATGTGAATGTATGGCAAAAACCACTACCATATTGTAAAGTAATTAGCCTCCAATTAAATAAAAAAGAAAGACATCCCATGTTCATGGATTGGACAATTTAATATTCTTAACCTAGCAATAATACTCCCAAAATTGACCTACAGAGTCAACAGAATTCCTATCAAAATACCAGCTGGCTATTTATTTATTTATTTATTTATTTTTTGCAGAAATTTACAATATGATCCTCAATTATTATGGAAACAAAAGGGGCAATCTTGAAAAAGAACCAGGTTGGAAGATGGACACTATTTGAATTAAAAACTTACTAAAAAGTCACAGGAATCAAGACAGTGTGGAAACCATATAAGGATAGACATATATCAATGGAATAAAACTAAAAGTGCATAAATAAGTCCTAACAATATAGTTAACCAATTTCTGACAAGAGTGCCAAGACAATTCAATTTTCAACAAATGCTACTAGGAAAACTGCACACCTACAGGCAAAAGAACGGAATTGGACTCCTGCCTTATACCACACAAAAATTAACTCCAAATTAACTCCATAGACTTAAGTGTAAGAGATAAAACAATAAAGCTCTTTAAAAAAACCTTAATAAGTTAGGCAAAACCTTAGATACAACACTAAAAGCATATGAAACTATAGAAAAATTAAATATATTGGACTTTATCAAAATTAAACATTTTCTGTTTGAAAGAATACAATTAAAAAAATGAGAAGACAACTCATAGGAGAAAATATATGCATTCACATATTTTGTAAGGGGCTAATATCTAAAATACATAAAGGACTTTTACAATTCAACCATAAAGACAAAAATCCAACTAAAAATGGTTTGAGGATCTGAACAGACATTTTTCCAAAGATATACAAATGGTCAATAAGCATATAAGAAGATATTCAATGTCATTAGTCATCAGACAAAGGCAAATCAAAACCACAATGAAATACCACTTACCATGGAGACTCCAAAATTCCTCTGAAAGGGAAAATGTAGAGATATGGAGAACAGTAAGGAGCCATACAAACACTAGAAACAAACTCATATATGCAGGAAAGTAATATGTAATTGAGCTGGTATTGTAAATTAGCAAGGAGATATACTACTCAATGAATGATTTGGGAACAGCTGGCTATCTATTTGAAGAAAAATCAAACAGGATCCATATGTGATACATACAAAAATAATTCTAGAGAAAGTAAAAACCTAAGCATAAAAAGTCTATAAATGTGACAAAAGAAAAATATGTGTTGTAATGTTTCTATGATATATCACTATTAAGCAGGACAACATAATTAATATTATTTAGAAATATTAAGACCTAAATCCTGATAAGCAAAAAGAGGAAGAGTTGACACATTAAATTAAAATTTAAAAATGTATAAAGCACCATAATAAAACTAAATGACAAACAACAGAACAGGAGAAAATGTTTGCAATGTTTATAACAGACAAAAGATTATTTTCCAGAAGACCTAAAGAACCTCCACAAAGCAGTAAGAGAGATGTACATAAAGAATCACACTTAGGATGTACACTATAATTGTTTTAATATCAAAAAATGGACAACCTCAGCCCTCATCAATTGAGGTATAGCTAAGTTAGAATAAATTTCCATTATCTAATAGTTTAAAGAATGAGGTATATAGATCTTTTGACATTAAAAGTTCTAGTGCTACCATAGAAACAATCAAGCTTCACAATATACACACCTTGATCCCATTTATATTTTAAAATAGATTTATGGCTGTGTTCAAAAAGGATATACACCTACTGGCTACTAATTTTCTCTCTAGAGAGAAGAGGTTGGAATGGGAGGAACTACTGAAGGATATTTTTATTCAATACACCTCTACACTGTTTGAATATTTTACAATGATAATATTACCCAGTCAACTGAATTTAATAACCTGTACCTGGAAATCCATGTGAAAACATAGTAATTAAGAGTCACCTAGAAGTCTAGTATCCAGAACACCAATCATATATTACTGGTGTATTTTCTTCCAGCTTTATGATTGTAGATTTCTTAAAAATATCACCTTGTATCTCAAATTTACAGCCTTTATGAGGATTTCCCCCTTTGGAAAAAAATCTTCCTCATCTACTGATGATCTCATTCTACTGACCATACAATGTATACATTGTATTCGCCTAAGTCAGTGGTCATGTATGGATGTGAGAGTTGGACTGTGATGAAAGCTGAGCACCGAAAAATTGATGCTTTTGCATTGTGGTGTTGGAGAAGACTCTTGAGAGTCCCTCGGACAGCAAGCAGATCCAACCAGTCTGTCCAAAAGGAGATCAGTCCTGGGTGTTCATTGGAAGGACTGATGCTGAAGCTGAAACTCCAATACTTTGGCCACCTGATGCAAAGAGTTGACTCATTGGAAAAGACCCTGATGCTGGGAGGGATTGGGGGCAGGAGGAGAAGGGGACGACAGAGGATGAGATGACTGGATGGCATCACCGACTTAATGGACATGAGTTTGAACAAACTCTGGGAGTGGTGATGGACGGGGAGGCCTGGAGTGCTGTGATTCATGGGGTCACAAAGAGTTGGACATGACTGAGCGACTGAACTGAACTGAAGTTATTAAGAAAAGTATTTCATTTGTCCTTCAGTGCTTCATGATGACAGAATTGTCCTTAAATGGCAGACTTTCTACTGATGATCTTATTAACATTTATGGACTATAGTCACTGACCGAACTGTGGTCACAGGAACTAACTAGTTTTTCCTTATTCTAAATATTGGAGCTTCAAAATAAACCACTTCTGCCTCTTTGGACTCAATCAGATAAATGAGTACAGCACTTAGTAAACATTCAATAAACACTAAGTGCTGTAAGTATGATACCTTATTTCAGAAGAAAAGTACATAGTAGTGACTTCTATAACCATAAATTTAGAAATACACATCAATTAGTAGATCACACCAATGTGAATGAACTTAATGCCATTGAATTGCATACTTAAAATGGCAAAAATGGTAAACATTATATATTATGTTTATTTTACCACAATAAAAAATTTGAAAAGCTATACTGATTAAAAGAACATATATTAAAACTCATTTTTTATTTGATATTTTGACTAATTGAAGCAGGTTACTAGAAATTCCAGATCAAGCCCAATCCAGCAAATCAGCAATGAGGTATGATCTGTATGTCACTAAATAAGCATTCTATTTACAGATTCATTTTCACCTCTTCTAAAATCTAGGGTTTCAAAAGTGTTTCCTACTTTTGTTTCTTACATGTAGGTCACCCAGGGTTTACTTTGCAGATAGGTGTACAAAGAACAAATACAGTCTTTTCACTACCATAGAGCTCCTGAATAAGAGTGAAGACCATGTTTGAGATATTCATTCACAAGACCCTAATACATCCTATGAAATCCCATTATTCAAAATGTAAATCTCTAACATTACAAAGGAGATAGTTGTTCTAGGTAGAACTTTTCTCCACAGAAGACTGTAAAAAACTTGCAACCCTGTAGTCACTATGATCTAAGCTAGAGTTTATATTTAGAGTCATTCTGAAGACAGTACTATTACTAGTTCTAGGCAGCTGAATGAGTCTGTAAATTAATGGAGTGGATAAGCAGACATACTAATAAAAAAAACTTGTTGAGAATTTCTCAGAGCTTTAAACTGTGAATGCTCTTTCTTTCTCTTTCCTTATAAGCGGAGGAAATGTATTTAATATCAGAGATATTAAAAGGAAAGCTAAAAGCAAAGTCTCTGGTTTGCAAGATCATATTTCATGTATTAATGATTAAATACCTTTGAGGAATAACAAGAAAAATATAAAGCTTTATGAAAAGTTCTTGTGCCTAGTGATATAGCACCTACCAAGGAGATTAGTTTATTTCTAATCTATTCCTAGAAAACAAATGTAGCTGAAGTTACATTTTTCTGTCACTGACATAGTCCACTTGTTACTTTCTACCCATTAGCAATGATTTATAAAAAATTACATACTATATCAAACTCAATCCCTCTTTTTCTAATCAATTTTTAAAATTGATTTTTAAATGTTGTGTTTAGTCAAAGTAATACTAATTCCCAGAATTTTAGATAAAGTTGTTTGAAACATTAAAAATTATGGTTTCATAAAAAGTCATAGCTTCCATCTCAAAAATTGGGATTAAAAAAATGCTAAAATGCCCAATACCAAGACGGAATTTCTCCAATATAAACTGGTTGACTTCCTAGTCCGAAATCTGCTTCTACATCACAGTAATTTTAGGCAGTTGTAAAGGAAAAGGGCATATGTGATGAAACTAACAGCAAAAGTTCACCAACTTACTGAAAGCAATTTGGCCCAAATACAGTGGCAAGATTGTGAACATTCATGCGGTTCTGCACATGGTGCTTGGCTACTTTTGTCAAGAACTGGCAAAGGTACTTGAGGAGGCAGTAGTGGGTATCTGGCAGCTCTTCTATTAAGGCTCTTAACTTACTCTCCTGAGCATCATTTCTGTCATCTGGGAAAAAAAAAAAGAAGAAGAAAAATTGTTCTCAGGTATATTTTACAGTAGCAAAAAAGATACACAAGTACAATACATCCCAACATTTAATTCAGAAAATCATTCCCAGGGACTGAGATGTGCCATTATAAAGAGGCATGTTTGCTTTTTCTTTGATCCTCAAGCATTTGATTTTAATTTTCAAGAATAACTGACTTATTCAAGACACCCTGAAAACCACAAGCTTTTTATTCAGTGAATAAAATAGGTTGGTATTTCAATTCTGTGTTTTCTTGCCACAGATTAAGATAATGGCTGGACTTTGATCCATAGCAGACCTTCCATTTCATTTTTGTCTTCAAGTCTGTTAAAAACAAGAATCTCTTGGTTGAAAAAACTTCATGTAGGAGACCTACCCGGATCACCATGAGTGACACCAAACTCAATAACCAGGGGTCTGTGCACAGAGAATATGGAAAGAATCTTTAAATTTTTAAGCAGCATTTTAATCACCCACATGTCACAGAGTTTAGAATTTGATATGTGCTTCATACAAATGTCTAATAACTTTGTGTGTGCCTAGTCGCTCAATTGGATTAGCGTATCCTACTCTTTCTGACCCTTTGGACTGTAGCCTGCCAGGATCCTCTATCTATAGGATTTCCTAGGCAAGAATACTGGAGTGGGTTGCCATTTCATCCTCCAGGAGTTCTTCCCGACCCAGTGATTAAACCCTAGTCTTCTGTGTCTCCTGCACTGCAGGCAGATTCTTTACCCACTGAGCCACTGGGGAAGCCCCAATAACCTTGTATGAAGCCAAAAACATCCAACAATGTGCCAGAATTCACAGGCAGACATGTGAAAACTTTCCCTCAATTCTCAGAGATCAGTTTTATTGATATTTAAATAGTAAAGTTGCTATCTTAAGTAAGTCTGTATACTACTTTCTATCAGAGGGACACATGAATCTTTTACAGAAAATACTTTTCAGGGAATAATGACAATCTATCAGAAATCAAATTGTCAACACCTGTTGGAACATCAAAAAAGCAAGAGAGTTCCAGAAAGACATCTATTTCTGCTTTATTGACTATGCCAGAGCCGTTGACTGTGTGGATCACCATAAACTGGAATTTTTTTAAAGAGATGGGAATACCAGACCATCTGACCTGCCTCTTGAGAAATCTGTATGCAGGTCAGGAAGCAACAGTTAGAATTGGACATGGAACAACAGACTGGTTCCAAATAGGAAAAGGAGTACATCAAGGTTGTATATTGTCACCCTGCTTATTTAACTTATATGCAGAGTACATCATGAGAAATGCTGGGCTGGAAGAAGCACAAGCTGGAATTAAGATTGCTGGGAGAAATATCTATAACCTCAGAAATGCAAATGACACCAACCTTATGGCAGAAAACAAAGAACTAAAGAGCCTCTTGATGAAAGTAAAAGAGGAGAGTGAAAAAGTTAGCTTAAAACTCAACATTCAGAAAACTAAGATCATGCCATCCAGTCCCATCACTTCATGGCAAATAGATAGGGAAGCAACGGAAACAGTAGCAGACTTTATTTTGGGGGGTTCCAAAATCACTGCAGATGGTGACTGCAGCCATGAAATTAAAAGACGCTTACTTCTTGGAAGAAAAGTTATGACCAACCTAGACAGCATATTAAAAAGCAAAGACATTACTTTGCCAACAAAGGTCCACCTAGTGAAGGCTATGGATTTTCCAGTAGTCATGTATAGATGTGAGAGTTGGACTATAAAGAAAGCTGAGCAAGGAAGAATTGATGCTTTTGAACTGCGGTGTTGGAGAAGACTCTTGAGAGACCCTCGGACAGCAAGCAGATCCAACCAGTCCATCCTAAAGGAAATCAGTCCTGAATATTCATTGGAAGGACTGATGCTGAAGCTGAAACTCCAATACTTTGGCCACTTGATGTGAAGAACTGACTCATTGGAAAAGACTCTCATGCTGGAAAGATTGAAGGCAGGAGAAGGGGACGACAGAGGATGAGATGGTTGGATGGCTTCAGTGACTCAATGGACATGAATTTGAGTAAACTCCGGGAGTTGGTGGTGGACAGGGAGGCCTGGAGTGCTGCAGTCCATGGGGTCACAAAGAGTCAGACACGACTGAATGACTGAACTGAACTGATCCTTTAGACAAATGTCTAAGAGAATAAAAATTTGAGCCAATTATATTTAACGCACATTGGATAGATAGGCCAGCTGCTCTAGCTGGTCAAAAGTATAAGAAACAAAAAAGTGAGGCAAGAAAGATACAAAGGAAGAGGAGTGTCAGTGTTACATAGGTAATGTGCAATGGCAGGAAGTGAAAACACAGAACGTCATAGATTGCTACTGATAGTGGCTGTAGATCACAGGATAAGAATGCAGGCTAGGAAGCAGGTTTAGCTACCTACTGCTTTTGTGACCTCAGACTTCACTGAACTGTTTCCTTATTTTTAATGGTAATATCAACTATCTAACAGGGTTGTGATGAGGATTAAATGAGTTGACAGTTACAGAGTATTTAAAACAAACTAGGTGACACATACCAAGTGCTATGTTAAGTATTTGTTAAATAAGCAAAGTAATGTTTTGCTTTACCTTCATTACCTTGGTTTTATGAACGCATTGAGGTTTTAGCGAAATGCCTTTTAATAGGAACCCATTTCACCCTTATGAATGTCAGAATAAGTGATGCTGTCAAAAATAGCAATGCTGAACATGTACAGATGTCCCATCTTTGGTAGAATCATATTGGAGAACATTCTATTTATGACTGGAATAACTCCATTTCTTATTGATCACAAACACTGTGATCCAGTAAACTATAATTTCAGGGCAAACAGATCTCTTGATACTAGAAGTTATTAATATTGATTTTTTTTTTTTTGGCTGTGTGGGCTGTTTTTTTCTCTAGTTGCAGTGAGCAGGGGCTACTCTCTAGTTGGGGTATGCAGGCTTCTCATGGCAGCGGCTTCTCTTGTTGCAGAGCACAGGCTCTCGGGCCTGAGGGCTTCAATCGCTGTTTCAGGTGGGCTCAGCAGTTGTGGCTCCTGGGCTCCAGAGCACAGGCTCAATAGCTGTGGCACATGGGGCTTAGTTGCTCAATGGTATGTGGGATCTTCCCAGACCAGGAATTGAACCTGTGTCTCCTGCAATGGCAGGCAGATTCTTTATACTGAACAAGTGGGAAAACCCTACCTTTTTTTTTTTTTAAATCACATCCAAATATTTTGATAATCCATAAAGATGTGGCATGTTGCATATTATCATGTTAATTTCTACTGTACTATAATCTTGCCTAGTAGGAATACACAAGAAATGGAAATAATTGTTTGGAGTGATTAAAAATAAATTGGTAACTATCCACTTCTCATACCTTTATAGTATAAAGATAAATATGAACTAAGAGGGGCTTCCCTGGTGGCTTAGGGTAAAGAATCCACCTGCCAATGCAGGAGACATAGGTTTGATCCCTGATCTGGAAAGATCCCACATGCTACCGAGCAACTAAGCCCATGCACCACAACTCTTAAGCCTGGGCCCTAGAGCTTGAGAGCCACAACTACTGAAGCCCACATGCCCTAAAACCTTTGATCCAAAAAGAAGCCACAACATTAAGAAGCCTGTGCACTACAACTAGAGAGTAGACCCTGCTAGTTGCAGCTAAAGAAAAGCCCACATAGCAAGGAAGATGCAGCACAGTCAAAATAAATACATAAAATTTAAAGAAAAAGGAACTAAGAGAAAATGTACTCCTATTTGCCTTTTTTTCCTTATGGTGACTAAGGCAAAGTGAGTCTGGATGTTTTCATGGGTGTGTGCTCTCTTTCTAAAATGTGGATTAATTCCCAGCATTTCAGGGTATAAGCAATAGCTTTCCAACAGTGTTGACAATGGACATCTGGCCTTCTTTCTGGCTCTGAAGTGAAACTTCAAACCCTACGGCAATGTGTGAAGACACTAGATCAAAAAAAAAATTTAAAATAGTTAGGAGTTTATGACATCTTTGAAAAGCAGCAGTACTTTGATGATTTACTTCCACTATTTTGAAACACAATGAGTAATTTCCCAGGAAATAAAACTGACAAAAAAATGGGAAGGGAGACATCTATTCAGAGACTCTCTAACTTAACAAAATACCATGAAAGCCTTCATGGCATGAATGAAAAAAATCATGAAACATGCTCTCCAAAAGCAAAAATAAGTATGAGGGGGAAAATATATCTGTCTCCTCCTATCCACAAGCATTCCTGCTTCCTCTGATGGAAGACATATTCACTGGTTCACTCTACTTCAGCGGCTTTGACAGCATGCAACACACTTGGACCCTAATATTCATAGCTTACCTCCTGAATCTTTGTTCAAACATATCGGCAGTGAAGCAAAGACTTGACTTTATTAGCATGACATTTCTTTTCATCTCTTTTCATAACAAATAATTACATGAGACGTGAGTTAGATCCCTGGGTTGGGAAGATCCCTGGAGGAGGGCATGGCAACCCACTCTAACATTCTTGCCTAGGAAATGCCATGGACAGAGGAGCCTGGCAGGTTACAGTCAGACACGACTCAAGCAACTTAGCACCCACAATAATACTGAGAATCTGCAATTTATACTGCTTTTCCAGAAATCTGGGGTAAATATCACCTTTACTGCCCACCTGCAGCTATCCCACAGATAAGACTTCCTCCACAGAAGATTAATAACTGCTCCACACATTTAGAATGTTCAGCCTAGCACTGAGTAGGCAAGTATTGGTGCAAATGTGCCTAAGAAGATGCCTTTTGATGTTTTCTAGAAACAAAGTTCATAATAACTATTTTTGTTTGCATTAGTTTTTGATTCACTGATACCTAAATATAATAAGGAGTACCGTATTCATTCATGTTCTTACATTTATATTGGTTATGACAATGTCTTAAGGTCTCACGTCATAAATAAGAATGAGCAGTGCTTCTATCTTGGGCACACTTATTCCTAATGTATACTTATCCACACTA